TCCCAAATTTAGTCGCCTCTTACGATCATGCAATGGGGGGCAGCAGGTACAATTCTTACGCCCTACCTGCAGGGCAAGCAGTGAACGTTCATGAGAGCCAAGCCGATTCAAACGTTCATTAGTCATCGAACTCCTCTGCCAGGTTTTGAGGCGGCGCAGGGCACTGAAACTTCTTTCATTCTCACAACTTGTGACTAGAATTGTTCACACCAGTCTAAGAATAGTCCTGATGTTGGGAAGGAACTCCTGGTCTGCAAGTTCTAAAGCTTCCCTTTGATTCTTTGGAACTTCTTCTCATGCCTTTCCCTTACATTCCCAAATTTTCAGCTCAAGTTCTATGGATCTCCGTTCTGGGATGTCGGAATCATACGCAGTTAAGAGGTCCTTTGCAACAACTTTTATGTCCGGACTGGTGCTCAGAAGGACCACTGGCACACTGTGCATTCCCTTTATTGTACACTCCTGGCTAGACAAGAAACGATCCCCCTACGTTTATGATCAAGATGATCTACGCGAGGTATGGTCAACACTTGTAGTAGTCCGTTCGGGAATGAGCCGGTGCATTATTTTTAAGGTTTGCTGTCCACATCTCCTTGGAGCCTTCACCTCAACATCCAGTGCATAAGCAATGTCCACTGATTCCTCAAACAATTCCTCATGAAAGGAATCTAAAAATTCCTCAAAGATATCACAATGGCGCGAACACAAGACACTTCATTGTATGCCGAGATGATGTCCATGGTCCTGAGGTGCGTTCGGTATCGAGAACGTTCGCGAGCATTTTGTTGACTAACGTTCTGTGCTTACCCAACTTCGCGAGCCAAGGGTGTTCAATACGATACTCTCCTATTCACCCTTGGCGGATCTCACGGCGAAATCGAAGTTCCCGCGTCTACAATTTGATTGGGTGCGGCTAGGTTTCGCCGACCAATCAAAACGCGCGTTACAATTGTAAATAAAAAAGATGGCGGCGCCCATCGAAACATGTCGTGTGTGTCACAACACCCTGCCAACAAAGCCAAGGCGTGTAATATTTGGACCCACGTTCGCTGTTTTTGACCAGTTAAGTTATATCTTGGGGTATATTGCTGATCAAACGGATGGGAAAAGCAGATACATATGTGGATTTTCAGTGAGGTAGCACTATAAAGTCGGCATCAGTTCCGCGCTATTACAAGAAGACAAACACGAACATATCGCAGCCTCCCAAAATACACACACATACACTACATGCATGCATCTTGCACACAGGGGAGGCCGTCCTTAAATGACCTTAGCTGTTAATAGGACGTTAAACAAAATCAAACAAACAAACAAACAAACATGTGGATTTTGTTTTACAAAGTTAAATAAGCTGTCCAAAATTGATTACGACTTGGTAAACAAAATTGAAACATTAAAAATCGAAAAAACACAAATTAATTTCCGAACTTCGACAAAAATACTTGTCAAGTCTGCCACAAACACAAACACCAAAAGGATCAAAACGTCCCAAGCCATTGCAACACACCCCAACACCAAGAGAATCAAAAAAAGCTCTGTGGACACCTAGACCTACAACTTCAAGTGTTACTGCAGCGGACGAAATGACTTGCGGACATTTTCCCTCTACCTGTAAAGTCAGCTACAGCAGATCGTGGGGTTAAAGTTAAACTATGGTTCTCAAACATATGTTATTATGTGGATTTTTTTCTGTATTCTAACTAATCTGAAAATGTTTATTTTACAGGTGTTATACAGGATCAAAGACAAAGTAAGATCAAAAGTTGTGAGGGAAAAGGAATCCATCAGAATGGTAAAAAGTATAATGCATGGTAAACCAGGAGCAGCAAAAGCTGTGTATTCAGCACTGCAAGAACCAATTAGAAAATCTGTGTTACGCGACATAAAGGATGAAATTAAAAAATTAACATCCACATTAAATATGTCGTTGTTTCGGAGAATAGACCACAAAAGCCTAACATCATTCTCTTTTACAAACATCAACACAGAACTAAAGATATGGGCGCCATTTTTCCATGACGTGATTTCATCCCTTGTGAAGAGCTCATCTGTTGGGGTAGTGGCAGCCATAATTCTAAAGTTTCAGAATTCACACATGACAGCATTCCAACATGTAATTGGACAGATCTTGGACCACTGTGGTGCCACTGATGAGGTTAGTTGATGGTGAATAAATGTAATAGTAAATATCATTTAAACATTATAATTTTACACAAATACTGATTATATGATGCTTTGTACTGCATGCGCTTCTTGATACTGAGTTTTAAAACTAATATTAATAGTAAGGACTATTTTCATATTCAAGTTCGGGTTGCATGTTTTGTTATAGTCATTTGTAAAAAAATATATATAATTCATTAGCCCTTCATAACAAAAATATAATGCCAATTCAAAAAGTTTTATATTTTTTGTGACTTGTAAATTTTGTTAACTCTTAGTGTATTGCAGTGCTCAACAGATTGGGTGTATGTGTGTCCACATCAGCAGTGTCCAAAATGAAAAAAGAGCTACAGGAACACCAAAGAAAACATATTGAAGATTTGTTGATTAAGGAGAAAAATGCCTTAGAAAGCAAAAATATGGGTATATAGTTATTTAGCTGTACAGTTCAATGTTTTAAGTGAACCTGCCTTATTAATTTTTAGTTGTAAATACTTAAAATATTCTGCTTTTCTATAATTGTATAAATTAATACATGTATATAAATTTACTTGAGACATCCTAACTTATTGAAAAGCAATAAATTAGTGACTTTTTGATAGTCCCTGTTAGGGTTTTGACCAAGTTATGTATTTGTAGAGGACTTTATCATCAAGATTTTGTAACCGAACTTTGCAAACCAAAGGAGAGTTTAGTATTGAACACCTTGTCAGGTTGTTTGTAACTAAATTAGGAAAAGTGTTGCATGTCATTCCAGTCTTGAAATCCTTTATTAGTTCTATTTTAGTTGATAACTTTTCCCATATTTATTTATATACCTTAGGTTTAATGATTCTGTCTCCATTTTTTTAGTCATTCTGTCTGTAACACTGATCTGTCATCGCTCTAGAAGCTATTTTCTTGACAGATTTTAGTTTAAACCTTTGAGATATGTTTGCTTTGAGCAATGATATAAAAAAAAAAATGAATATAAAGGTCATTGCTCGATAGTTAAATTAAGGTTGGAATTGGGTTGGTATATTTTCAGACATGCTCATTTCCTCTATTACAAGATTATCTTTATCTGACTAGACCATTGCTATTGATGATTTTCTTATTCTTTTGTTATATCCTTTACCCTCTGTTTTATATAATACATTTATGATCAACTCAGTTCAGTGATATTTTTTTCTATTTTCTCTTGATGTAGAACCTGCATCTCAGACTGACAGAGGAGAGAAACCACAAGATGAGACGATGAAAAGGAACAAGTCATGTGATATTATAGGTGATAATGTTGACATTAGTAGGAGTCCATCAAAAATGACAAAAGATAAACGCCGACAAAGTTGGCACTGGTTTTTACTGGTTGGGGTTGAAAAAAGAGTTTTGAATCCTAATCTTGCAGACATTGCTTCCTACAGCTGACATCAGCCTGTTAGAAAATTCCAAGTTTATTCCAAGTCTGGAAGAATGTCATTCATTGGAGGAGAGATTTATATTTCATATTATGAGAGTTCTAGTTAAGTATGTTAATTGTCTGAAGAAATATGAATGTTGTGTGCCAAAGTATCTTCAACATCCATTCCTAAAGGAAACATCCCAAAAATCTGATTTTGCTATATTAGATTTGTTAGACAAAGGCGAGAACAAAACAGAGGACATGATAAGTATTTTGGAGAATATTCATGACAGGTATATTCCACATGATGCTGAAAATTCTGCAATAAAAAAGAAAGTGTTTGGTGGTGATGTGCTCACAAACGAGCGAGCATACTGGGCTCAGTTAGCAATGCTGAACAGTCAAAGTGATTTCGAGAAACTTGCAGGAGTAGTACATAGGCCTGAAGGACTTCATAGGATGATGAATCTTCTTTTGGTTATCCGGTTGAAGTTGAACCAGTTCATATTGTTCAAGTTACAAGGCATGTCATATTTCTGTTTACAGTTTTTTCTTGTGTTCTGCTTATTACTTTTCTAGATACTGTTGTTAGCTAGTCAACTAGTAATTTACTTAATTTATCATTCCTGATTTGTTATTCTTATAAAATATTTAGATGGCCTGCGCAACACAAAATTGGATGTTTAAATAGAGCTTTTATTGAAGGAGAAAATTATCTTGTAATGAGAGTTTATTATAAAACCAAATCAAATGAGATGTGGAAATTTAAAATGATTATTAAGAAAAAAAATGAGATATTTTGTACATTGGCGAAAATGTTGGTTGTGCATGAAAATAAGTGTTCTAGCCTATGCACAAAATGTTCTTGGAAAAAACCTTAACAGATTTTGGTTTTGTGGACTAAATTTTGTGAGACTGTGTGTGTGTGGGGGGGGGGGGGGGGGGGGGGGGGGAGGAGTTGCTACTAACTCTGGTTATTGCTAACACTGTTTACAGAATTGTTAATTCAAATACCACTTGTTGTAAAATATACAAAAGTTTTAAGCAAGTGAATTCATTATATTTCTGTAATATTTTGTGGCATTTAATTAAAATTTATAACACTTACAGGCATTCAAGTAACAAGGTAAAATACTGCTGTACTATTTTTTGACTTGATGAAAGTCTTGCTGTAAGTGCACGTGCACTTTTTAATTATACAATAATATAAATTCAAGTTTACTCAGAACTTTGATGTGGTATATGCTGTTTAATATTTCATATTGTCTCCAACAAAATTTTACATTTGTCTAGCTGTTATCTCTAGTTTATGTGCAACACAATTCTCACAATGAATCCACTTGTTAGTGTCCTATATAAACAAACTTAACCTAGTATATACATAGGTGACAGCCATGTAATTGTGAAATTAATTCGTTTACTAATGATGAAATAATGTCTTGTTTTTTTGGGTTTTTTTTTTTTAACCTTGATAAAAATTGACTCAGGTGCATAGGTGGCAACAATTTATTACATGTAGTTGAAAATAAATAGTACAGACATGTTTTATTGTGCAACTGAAATTGAATGCCTTAAAAACAATAGGAGAAATTTTTGACACAAGCTTTTTTTACATCTCTAGCTCTATCATTATCACTTTTTCATATAACTCAGTTTAATAATTTCAAATGGTAACAAATATAAGATAATATGACCACTGTGAGATATTGCAATATATACTACCTTTTAATCGATGTGTATTGTGTTACAATAACATATGTATACATAATATTTTTTAAAACAGTAAATTGTAATGAGATGCACATATTTTATAATAAAAAGTGTAGAAACAACTTTATAATTAGTCCGAGTCTTCATCTGTCATACATATCTGAATCACCAGTCACAGTATTTATCTCTTTCATAATCTGGACAGCTATTTCAAACGACCAAACTGGGAACATTTTTAGAATGTCTGATGTCGTAAAAATTGTATGACACTTAAGCACAATATCATCAATTACTTGATCAGTGATTCCATGCAGAATTTCTGATGTTATTAAAACATTGCTTAGGTCTGATTCAAGTGAATATTTTAACACCGAAAGTTTATGCCGCAAAAGTTTTCTGTCGTCTCTGGTTACCTCTCGCTCCATTTCAACAGTTTCATCCTCCATATTATCAGGATCAGCTGCCAATGCCCTATGGATATCGGGGCAGGATTCTTCACCACAATCACATTGTTTCTCACAGACATCACAACATTTATGTTTCGGAATAACAGGTTCATGTACTGTCACGTATGAATCACACAGTGTTTTACGTCTGCATGTGGCATCATCTTTCACAAGTTTCACCAAATCACCTTCCACTCTACTAAGATGTCCCTTGTGCATCTTGTACAAAATAAGTTGCTTGCTGTATTCTCCATCACGCCCTGCTCGACCCATTTGTTGTACAAAAGTGTCCATTTCTCTGGGTAAGCCATAATGAATGATATTGTGCACATTATGAAAATTGACACCCATACCAGCTGAATTGGTACAAATCAGAATTCTGATTTTACCATTTTCTGCCATGTCTTTTCTAATTTGCTCCTTAATTTTATCATTTGTCTTGCTGTGGTACATTTCAAAAAGATTCCGAGACTGTCCCATATGTTTTAGAAATGTTAAATACACTTTTGAAACATTTGCTATACTTTCACAAAAAATCACATGTCTCGGTAATGTTTCTTTTTGGTTTAGAAAGTCATCAATTAAGAACTTGAACACAGTGGAAAGGTCATCATTATTTGGAATACGCACTGAAGTTATCTTAATGTTAGGCCTGTCTGGAGAATCAAGAATCACCTCTGATGATGATTTAAAGCATAAAGATTTCATAATTTTTCGTCTCCCTGTTGGCCCAGCAGTTGCAGTTAAAGCCAGCATCTGTACGTTGCACAGCGACCTCAATTCTCCTATTCTGGAAAAACTGCCACGGAATGGTCCTTCCTTCTCTGTGCCTTCGCCCCTTGAATTAAAAGAATAACATATAGGGTGTTTGTTCTATTTTCCATAAAATTAGTCATCAACAGTTTAACTTGTGGTTGCTTTGTTATTTTGATATTTGTAGATGTTTGAAGGGTGACTAGTCAAAGCTAAATAATTTCACATGTTACTATTCAAAACCACTGGGAAATGTTCTGATGCAAGCTTTTTTTTTTTGAATTGCGATAGAGTAAGGTGTGATACGCTGTTAAAGCAACTTACCACTGTATTACGGTGTGAGCTTCATCCACAACTATCAGGCCAAGTTTGCTCTGATAGGGGTCAGTTTTAAGCATAGCTCGCCTTCTTGTGTCCTCTACCAAATGCTCCGCGCCACCAAATATAAAATCAAAATGTCCGGCTAAAATACCCTCAGTGTCGCTGCCGTCCTTTCCGATATACGTGGCCTTGAATCCTAATTCACAGAGACGGCGACATTGTTCGTTCATGATATTGACGAGTGGTGCAACCACCAGCACGATCTTCCCTTCATTTAACACTGGATAGATTTCATAAGCTAGAGATTTACCGCTCCCTGTTCTTGTCCCAACAAAAACGTCTTTTCCATTTTGAATTGCGGTTATTGACCGTATCTGTGTGTCTCGAAGTTCCTTAATTCTGAATGAATCGCATATAGCACGTTGATCTATGGTCGCGGCCATTTTTCTGTTTTGGTGTTCAATAGTACGAGCTATTTGATTGGTCAGGAGTTATGTGATAGTAAGGGGCATAACTGCAATTTCCACTAGATGGCGCTTCGCGGGAACTTCGATTTCGCCGTGAGATCCGCCAAGGGGGAATAGGAGAGTATCGTATTGAACACCCTTGGCTCGCGAAGTTGGTGCTTACCGTACAGTACAATTTCAATATGGAGGAAATAATTAATGTGTTGATACTAGACGAACTAACAGACGATCATGTGGACCTTGCATCGTTTACAGATGCATCAGGAGCAGCTATCCGATCAGGTAACACTGCTTTGCAGTTGATGCTCGGTCATCGCAAGAATCGACAATTATTTTGAAGAAATAGTTCGATGTTGCATTTAAGGAGACACTCTCGTTCTCGTTACTTATTACAGTACTCTTGGATAAAAACGGCATTGTGGCGAACTTTACTGACATAAATACACTAGTCAGTGTCAGTACATTTTGCTATTGCAAGATAATCTCACTACTTTCAATTGATGCAATAAATCGCGTCGTTTACGTCATTAGTTTTTCGCTTATCCAAACGGTTGAACCAAAGTTGTTCGTTTATGATATAAGGTCGGACCTAGTAATCTGATGCTGTTTTCAAAACCTTGCAAGGCCTGCATAACTATTTGCAGGTCTGTCAGGATTTATACCCTATTTTTTTTACATTTATTAACAAACAACCCGGTTCAACCGGATACAGGAAAGGGGCCCCGAGTTGGTTAGTTCGGTTACCGAAGCTCAAGATAGGAAATTCACGGACCACGGATTACAATATCCTTCATGTATGATTAAAAGTTTCAGTCTGAAAGAAACTAGGGCTGGTCTGCATATCATGTAATCGTATTATTAATACAATCGATTTAACTTCTTTACCAAAATAGAAATACAAAGTAATACGCTGTTAAAAGAAAATAACGGGTCTCTGTCTAACCATATGGGTGCGTTCGTTGGTGTTTTCACTCCTGTGAACAAACAGGATAACAGATAGCAGGATTTCTTGTAACAGCAGTAACGGATCATCGGCCACAGTGCATCAGTCAAAAACTAAAACTAATTACCCTGAAATTATTTATCCTTAACGATTCGAGATCTGTCAAATAAAATATTTTAATTATGCCAATTTAAGTGCAGTCGTGAAGATGTAAAGGGGGAAAACACATTTTTAATAAACATTGAAAATATGTAGCAATGAAACGTGTACGGAAGTTACAATGACTTAAGCTTGGCATTTATACTTATTTCTTTGTTAGTTGGTTTTAGGTTTAAGATTGTCTCCAAATAGAAAAAGAAATTAATTTCGAGAAATTTTATGAATGCTCCAAAAAGGATATGACTGATTTTGATTGTAGTTATGACATTACTAACTATTTGTGCGCTCAAAATTGTGAATTTTAAGTAATTCATATGTGTATTTAGAGCGCCTTTAGTTGACATTCACTGTGTATTTGAATTCAGACTGAAGCTGTTCAATACTTAAGTTTAATATTTCAAAAATGATAGAATCTAATAGAAAATTGAATTAGCTATATATGTTAATCAAAATTTGGAATTCAAAAGAATAAATAGCCCATCTTCAAAGGAGGGTCATTGGTACAATTATAAAATATGACAAGATATGAAAGCCATTCAAACTTGGTTATATAAATGAATAAATAAAGCAGAAATGCTTTAGAGTGGTCAATATTTATATATGATAGTGTGTCATGCAATTATATAAATGTATGTTAGTATAACCGTTTTTCCGATTTTATTTGTATCTAAAACATATCTTTTCTTATAAATGTGCTGTAATTATATAGGCTTTGCCCGATTTGTAAATCCATTTGTAATTTTGCAATAAAATAACGTCAAACAGCTTTTTTTTATACAAAGTGAACTGTGTCTAGCTGTGTGGATTTTATAGTGTTCCCATTAAATACATCATTTGTTATGAATACAAATTTTTTAATACACTATATAGAGAAATTATAGATATCTGTATTCAATTTACATATCTCTGTTTTTTGAAATTTTAAATATCTGTCTACATACATCTGTTAGAATGCAGACTGTCAGTTATCTGAAATAGATATCTACACTTAAGAAAATCTCTGTTTGAAATACAGATTTACATCATAAAAATAGAGAATAAAATATATATACCTACACACATATAATAATTTAGATATATCCATAAATATGCAAGAACTACTGACCTATCTATAGAAACTGTATCTTAGTTAAGGATATTTATAATAAAACAGCTATATTTAAGATGCAAAACCAAGAACAATGAGGAACCAATATATGAAATATGTGAAAGGACTGCCAAGTACATCTTGAGAATGAGTGATTAACTTTTAACTGTCCATTTCAAAGATGACTTCAACCTTTTTACACACCACTGATTAAATGCTGAAAGTGATTTAATATCAGAAATGGTAGGCAGATCCGATTTTGAGTCGACCACCAAAAAAAAAAAAAAAAAAACGGTGCCTCCCACCTCCCCCATAAGATTAATTGCCTAGTAGCCATCTTATCGGTCTCAAAATGAGATGTGCACAACTATATCATGGTCCATAGGTAACCTTATACTGAAATTTGAGACAGATTTGCCATCGAAATAGTGATAAAAAAGAATATTTTAAGGACAGGACAGTTGATGACAGATTTTAAATGAAGGTATGATTTGAAAAGTTTGTATTCAAACAGAGATATCTTTATCTCCAAATTTACTTAATTGTTGGGCAAAAACTGCTCATAGACTGAACAAAAGCAAACAATACTGATTCCATATTTTCATAAGAAACAGGAAAGGCTTTCCAAGCATCCAGCTATAGGCTGTTTGTGACAGCGACCTTGTCTTCCGGGATGTTTATGCTGGTTGCCCAGGGTCAGTTCATAATGCACGAGTCTGGCGAAACTGTCCGTTAAGCATAATTCTTTCATAACTGCCACCAAACCAGCATCTCCTGGGAGACTCGGCCTATCCCCTGTCAGTGAACTTGCTGGTGCCATTTCGTGACAGTGAGCATCTAAGTCATATTGAAAAGAAATACAACAAGAGTCACTCCTCAACAAGAGTTGATATTGAGCGTATATTTGGCCTCCTTAAATGTAAATTTAGGAGGCTGCAAATTCTTGACATGCACCAGCTGAATGAAATCCCTAATGTAATTGTAGCATGCTGTGCACTAGATAATTTCATTTTACAGAATGAATTTGCTGATGACGAAGAGTTTGATATGCCAGATGACAGGACAAGTTGCCTTGGCAAAACGTCTTGAGATTGCAAACATGTTAGTTTAATCTGGAAAATTCTTCAGAAATACAAAGCTTCTCCTTCCTTTTGATGACCTTAAGCTTCCTATCATAAAGAACTGAAAGAAATATGTGTATTATTTAAATATAATTTAATTTACTACATAACGTTAGTTGGTAACATCTTTAGAATGAAATACAAATGTATAACATATACTGAATATTATTGTCCTGACCCTTATTGACTTCAATATCATTTCGTAGATGGTGTGTGACAGCAACTTCCTAATAACTAACTGTGTGGCTCAGTGGCCTGGCTCATGTCATGACTCCAGAATTTTTCGTGAAAGCCAGCTTTGTCAGGACTTTGAAAATGGTAATTATCATTTATACATGTATAAACTTGCATGTAATCTACAAAGAAAGCTGTATTCTTTTTAAAGAGCATTTAATAACTTAATCTATATGTAAAGCTATGTGTTCATGTATCTTTCTATATTGCTCTTGGATATGAAACATGTATCTGTTAAATGTTACACTGATGAGCATAATAAAATTTGAAAATATTTTTCAAATCTAAAGTTTAGGTTCTGTTAGTAAAAATCACATAAAAGTGAATATTTGCAAACTATCCTAATTACAGGAGTGCATAATGGTTTCCTACTGGGCGATTCTGGATATCCATTCCGGAGATATTTGATGACCCATTTAACAACACCAACAACGAACGACACAGGGAGAGGTTCAATGGTGCACTCTGCAAAACCAGAGTACTCATTGAACAAACTTTCGGCATTTAAAGCGACGCTTTACCTGCTTGTCGTTCGGCCTGCGAACCAACCCTAACCGAGCATGCAAATACATTATTGCATGTGCCATTTTACACAATGTTGGTATTCTTAGGCAGGACATTGTTACAGAGAGTATCAATGATCTAACTATCCAGGGACCAGATGTAATGGACCAAATTGTTCATGTAAATGAGAATGGTTTCGGGGTAAGAGAAAATATGGCAAGAAACCTATTTGGTTAACAAGTTATTAACTGATTATATATAGGACTCACACAACTAAATTATTTACTATATGTTATTACAAAGCTTTTGAGTTAAAAGCTTTAATATTTGAAGTTCAAAACTAGTGACAGCTGTCTAGATTCATAGATACATATCTGACAAAGGCTTCAAAAGACATTTCTTGGCAGGTTTAGTGGCATATAAGAGCGCTACAGGCGTCTGCTTTTGACAACTGGAAGTGTACGAGCCAAACCAGTGAAGTGGGACGGGAACACCCCCTATCAATCCGCCATCACATATTAAAATTTACTAAAACTATATGCTTTTCTAAAGTGAAATATCTGTTGATTTCATTCAATGTAAAATACTCAGAAGCACTGTATTTAACAGGAACAAATTTTAGGTAGGGATTACATATTATGAAACACTTGCTGATTGGTTGATTTAGTGGTGTGAGTCCTTTACCCCTATGTAGCAATGTCCAAATACTACTCTACCAAAGTCAAATGACAATTATATTCCCTGAAAATGACTATTCAATTTATATTTAACTCATTTCATCCTGAATGCAAATCATCCAAATATTTGAGGTTTATTCAAAAATGTGTAATAAGTTTAAATTGGTGAAATTATCTGATGTGCAGCAGACCAGGTTTACGGGGT